TGTCTAGCGGTCGTGCATGCGCTTGTACAAGCTCAAGCTCTGCATCGCGTAAGGCGAGCTAGTGCAGCCACAGCTGACCCCCACCCCTAGTCCCATACTCAATCTTTCTGGTATTTAACCGTAAACGAAAAACCTAGATATAGAATTTACTAAAAAAAGATATGGGTACGAAAACTCACGTTTCAGTCTGTCCTGTTACAAGAAAGAGGAGATGCTTCTCGAATGTCCATGGTTTGGCATTGTTCCCCGACGCTTTACTCAGCGAATTCTTCCGCCACTGATCCCTCAGATTCTTCCATGTCGTTTTTAGCTCGAGCACTGGAAGATAATTCAAATTTCGCTGGTTAGGTGAGAAAATCATATAAAAAAGTTGACTTACTTCCTCCGTTGAAGCCACATTCGAGCATCGCCTTATGAACTCTATTCCAGCTCGCATTTTTCTTGTCTAGTCGAGCGTAGTCTTCACTTCCTGTGTTCCATATAGACTCCTCCTCTTCTATAAGTCTGATAAGCCGGCATTTTGCCGAATAGTCCATTCTGGAACAAATTATATGCAAAGGTACAACTAATTTTTTCACCAGGAATTACAAGGAGTACAAGATTGATGAGGATGAGATGTTGAGTAAGTGTTCAGCACATGACGACGGAGAAACTACAACAGCAAGCAGGCAGCAAGGGATCACAACTAGTGGAGAACAGGCTGGCGCCGCGCCAAACCCAGCCCACCGACACGCCCCAGCATCCAAAGCGGACAATACTGTGCATAGCTGAGGCCGAGCACCCTATCCATATTTATCCATAAAATTTTTGATATTAACCTTATGGAAAAGAACTCGTCATATTCCCTGGTCGAATCTGACCGTGGCTGACTACATGACAGAACATCACCATGAAGCCAGTTGCCACGGGAAGAGCAACATCCAGCCTTCCCAACTCGATTCGGTGAACCTTGAAGCAATAACCGAGCTACAGGGACATTTGGGGGCACTCTAACAAGTTCCGTGGAAGACTACTAAAGTTCAAACGACGGAGTCGACAAGGACTCATGGGAACTTTCGATCTGATATATTCTTTACTAGATCAAGTACTTCCATTGGTCTGTGTCGTCGATACTATTCATTCAAAGGCTCTTTGGAACGCTTCGAGGACACTGGGGCGCGTCACGGGAGTTGGTGCACTTGGCGCGGCGCCAGCCCGTCTTGCAGCGTGGAGGCGTACAAGCGAAAACAATTGATAGAAAACGGACTGGCCCCTTGCCAAACCGAGCCCATTGAAGAGCCCCAGCGGAGACGACCATGACTGTTCGTTGCTGTGCGAAAGGGTCAGACATTACCACCGAATTTTGATATTCTGTCTGATTTACAAGCAAAGTTCTCCCAAGCTGGGAGGAAACCCAATTTCGTTCCTTTTAATTACTTTTATGTGCATCTGCGTCTTAGGGAGGATTATCAAATGTGTCTCTATATGGTTTTGACGAATCAAGGTCCACACTCATGAAGAAGAAATCCGACAAGTATGGCTTTCCGGGGATGAGCCAACCTTGAGGTTACTGGCCTTGAAAGGGAAAATAATCAGATAAAGCTAACAGGCAACGGTTTCTCCTACATCACCAGGCTTCTCTAGATTCTCTACGGGGTCTCCATCTTCATTTATTCACGACCTCATAGGGCCCATAATCGCGATAGGGAAAGTCGCTCGTTCAGCAAGACCCTCTACACCGCTGCCTTTGGTACGAACACTTTCACCCTTGAAGTTCGACCCCACTCGTTGCCATTCCGCTTCTTACTTTTACTTTTTCGTAAGAGCTTACCTTCGGGGGACTGGGAGGTAGTACGTTAGGGAGACTATGACGGATATGCCACTTCAACGTATGCAAGCAAACTTCCAACGACAATAAGACCCCTCGTTAAAAATTCCTCAAACATATCGTGCACTGTGTGCTCATGTCCATCACCACAGCCACGCCACCCTCCCGTGGAATAGCTACTAGCGTGCTGAATGGGTACCTTAATCAGGGGTAGGACGGTAGAATCATAACCACAACCTCGCATGGGTTCACATCTATACTTTACAACAGGTTAAAGATTGTTTGTGATAGCTCAAAAAGAGTTCAAATGTCCCTGGTTTTATGAACGGTTCGGTTTCCCTTTTGCCAGGCAGTCACCACTGAGGGGTTGAGGGAGACCGGAGGGACAAAGGTATAGAGTTGGGCGGACCCTCACATATACGTTGCATGTTCCAGATACCCATCAAGGGGTCGTATCAGGTCGCTGGAGGGAGAAGGAGCTGTATTTACCTCTGTGAACAATTGGTCGCTGACTTTTCTTGGTTTTCCCATTTCACTTGCGATATACTACCCAACACTTCCCCTCGTTCCATACCTTTTTTTGGGAAAACCAAAAAAATTTAATAAAAAAATTCGAAAAAGTAGCAGGAAGTTTGGAGAGTTCAGGGAAGATCGGAGACGGATTCGGCGGGCCGCCACAAGTAAATAAGGCTTTGTTACCAGTATGGGGATGGGAAAGGGGGTGTACCAAAGAAGGGAATCTTGAGGTGGAGGGGCGTGCTTGGCAAAATTTCACCCCAACTGCACGGCATACTCTGGTTGTTGGAAGCTTCTGTAGTATTTAAATTGGCCATGTGGATAAATTTACTTGATAATATTCTTCGTGAATGGAAAAAAAGAATTAGAAAAAGGATACAGCTTTCGGGGTTGATCAGCCTTTTTCGATAAG